CCATACACAGACAAGCGTCGACAAAAGGTATATAAGGAGGCCTTCTTCCGGCCTCCTCTTCTCAGAAATGCATGCTTCCTACCACAACCTTCTCGTACGACAACTTTGACTGAATCACTACTCCGACCAACCACCTTCAACGCTTGCTCGACGCCTGGACTGATCACCCAGCTGTCTCCCTCTCTCTCTCTCTTCTTAGCTCTACCATCAGCTAAGTCCTCGCCAGTCGTAACGTTCAGTCCACTCACCGCTTGTTCCCTGCTCTTAGTTCGACGAGCACAGAACCTTACTTGCGCCGGTGACGACTCCGGCTATCGCCGCTGAGCCGCATCGTTACAGTCATCGGTCCTGCTCCATCCCTGCTACCTTTGTCTTCGCACCACAGCTAGCACCGTGGAAGCTGGTCTTCCACCACAGACCACCGAACCGGACTCGTCTTCGGCTCGCTCGAGTACATGTGAGCATCGGCTATGCCCCTGACGCATTCCGACAGCAATACTGATGCCGTATGCGACCTTTGTCTTTTCTCCGCTTGCGCACCACAGCTATCACCGTGGAAGCTGGACTTCCTTCTGACATCACGACTGGACCGAATTCCTCTTCGGCTCCATCAAATACCGGTGAGCATCGGCTATCCTCCCCATGACCCATTTCGACAGCAATGCTGATGCCGTGTGCGACCTTTGTCTTTCCCTCTTTCCCGTGTGCACCCAGCTATCAAGATACCCAACATTCGCTTTATTACCGGAGCAGAATGTCTTAGACAACGTGAGACCTCTCTCGGCATCCTTGACTCGCTCGTTGGCAACAAGACTGACGTCGGCACTGTCGCTATGCCTTCCCTTCCTTCAGCAATGTCCACAAAAGCCATGCTCCCGGCCGCTCGTCCTTTGACCTTCCGTAAGTGATGCTTGGCTTTCGCCTTCGATGCCTCTTCGATGCGCTGTCCATTCTGACGCCATTCCATTGTGCTTTGCCTTCCTCAGCGGCAAACAACACCGTTGATCAATACCCTCTGCCGGCCGACATTATCGGAACCATGAGGGGGACTGGTCACCTTGGTCCAAAACCTCAATCCCTCATGGAGCATCAGTGCGGCTGGCAGGAGAACCACGGTGAAATCTGTCGTGCGTGCCTTGCAAAGTCGACGGCAAACCGTGGTATTGATATGGAGCAAGAGACCACGCGCTTGCTCCAGACAGAACGCCTGTCAAACGCGACTCGCAGGCTCCTCCAGGCAAACCTGCATCACTGGAGTGCAATCAAGGCTGAGAGCTTCTACTATGATCACTCTGATGCAGAAGCCCAAGGCCTTTGTCACCACCAGGCCAACGAGTCCGCGCACGCCACGCCGGAATCTGGTCAACAGGTAGAGCAAAAGCAAGAGCTAGAGCCGCAGGAGGAAGAGGAAGAAGAGGAAGACGAGGAAGAGGAGGAAGACGAGGAAGACGAGGAAGACGAGGAAGTGGACAATGATCGCGTAAGCAATTCAGACTTCTCCGCGGGCGACGAGTTCTTCCGCTACTCCGACTCCAACGACTCCGACGACGACAACGAAGATCTCTCCTCCTTGGCAACGCGAGGAGCCGTCGCCGTCCGCTCACGTCGTCAGGTCTCACGACAGGCCGCAGTTGCCGTCGCTTCTCGTCCTCCGCCCGCACCTCGTCAGGCCTCGCAACAGGGTCCACGTCAGCCTTTGCGACAGGGTCCAGCGGCCGTCGCTCCTCCTCCTCCTCAGCCCTCCGCGCCAGCAACTCGACAACGGGAAGACACGACCAAAGGCCAAACTCCTGCCGTCGCCTCTCGCGGATCGATGTCAACTTCTTTGGCTTCCTCTTCCTCTTTCTCTTCTTCTTGATCACCAGCCTCGAGCTCTTGCTCTTCGGTCTGCAGAGGAGCTTGCGTACCGTGGCACGGTACCATGCTCCTCAGATCGTCGAACTGCAGCTCGCAAATGGCAGCTCTGAAGTGGCAGATGGCACTATGAAGTACCTCCACCACTCCTGGAGTTAGCTGCTCTTGCGCCATCAGCGCATAGGTCTTCTTGCCAACGTCATCGAGGCGGGCAACCAGGGAATTGGTTGCGCAAGAGCGGCAAATGATGCTACCCTTATTGCAGCCCAGGATCCACTCATCTGAAGGAGTTGTTGAGGGTTCCAATCTTGCCTGAGAAGAGAACGCTTCCTCTGTCTTGTTGCGCTGTGGACAAGGAGACAGAGGGGATGGAGAAACGGTGTCAGAGTTCTCGCCAAGGGAGTCTCGGATAGCTGCCACGCAACACGCTCACAGTCGGGGACACATTGTCCTTGAAAAAAAAATGGCAGTAGTGGGATTGGTACAGGAGACAAGGAAGCGTTGTAGTGGCGTTGCCCTACTGAACGTTGTCCAAAGAAAAGTGGTGGTCATGAGGTTGGCAAGGAGGCAAGTGGAGGGGTTGTGGTAGCGTTGGCGTTGGCGGTGGACGTGGCTGTGGAGTGGGACGCCGTCCTCTACGGTCAGCGGTGTTGAGCCCAAGACGAAGAGGGGTGAGGGTGGCATTTTTGGCGGAGGAAAAGAGGCTGCTGGTGGCAGCAGTGGCAGCGGAGTGCAGATTGGACGGATAAAGACTGGCTAAGAGCACAAAGAAGATTTTTCTGCGGAGGCAGTGCACTCTGAACTGATCATCACCTCTAATTGAATATGATACGACGACATACAGACGGGAGCAAGGCCGCAGCGCATCATGCTTCTTCAAATGCTCAAGGCGGAAAGGACGGAACTTGAGAGTATTAGCAGGTCGCTTTCTGATCTGTGGCGCCCCACAAGGGGTTTGAAGTCTTCTTGACCCTCCCCTAGTGATGTCAAGCATGCCGATCCTGTTTTTCAAGCAGCCTTATCCAAAGTATCCCTCAATCATCATGCAGCAATGTACGCTCCGCCTAAGGACCTGAGCACCGCTCTTACTGCTCCTGCTCCTCCTGCTCCTGCTCTTGCTCTTCCTGTTTCTACTCTTCCTGCTATGCTGTTTCTGATCCTCTGTCGGAAGGCCTGAGTGCTGCTCTTCCTGCTCCTGCTCTGCTCTTCCTGATCCTCTGTTGGAAAGTCTGAGTGCTGCTCTTGTTCCTGCTGCTCCTGCTCCTGCTCCTGCTCCTGCTGATGCTGATGCTCTTTGTGCTCTGCTGTTCCTGCTCTGCTCTCCCTGATCCTATGTTGAAGGGACTGCTCCTGCTCCTGCTGGCGCTCCTGCTCCTTCTCCTGCTGGCGCTCCTGCTCCTTCTCTTGCTGATGCTCCTGCTCCTTCTCCTGCTGATGCTCCTTCTCCTGCTGATGCTCCTGCTCCTGCTGATGCTCCTACTCCTGGTCCTGGTCCTGCTGATGCTCCTGCTCCTGCAGATGCTCCTGCGGATGCTCTTTGTGCTCCTCCCTGATTCTCTGCCAAAGGACCTGAGCACTGCTCTTTGTGCTCCTGCTCTTTGTGCTCCTCACTGCTTCTGCATTGAAACATCTGAGTGCTGCCTCTCCTGGGCTCCCTGCTCCTCTGTTCAAGGACCTGAGTGCTGCTGTTCCTGCCCCTGCTCCTCTGCTGAAGGATCTGAGCGCTGCTCTTCCTTCCCGCTCTTCCTGCTTGCACTATTTCTGCTCCTGCTTTTCCTGCTCTTCTTCATCTTTCTCCATTTCTGGCATGGCCCCTCCCCTTTTCCCTTCCCCTGGCAGACTGCCTTGAAGTGGAGCTTGAAGGCCTTTTCAGGCTGACTTTGCCCTCCAAACAAGGCAGAATGATGCCTCTTGGCCGCGTCAGGCAACAGATAGTTGTTGCTGCACCCAACCATGAAGCCCACCACCACCTTGACTACACCACTGCCCGAACCAACGAGCTCGGTTCGGCAGGCGAAGGTGGTGCCCTCACGCATGAAATTGTAAGGGGAGATGCCTTGAGTGGACACCCCCTGTGCGCCCAGATGGAGAGTGCTGGGTCCAGCCGCCGGGATGGGCGAGGACGGCATAAGATCCTCCAGCAAATCATCCGGGTGCGAGGGGCTTGCGTGAAGGCTGGGCGAGGACGAGGGCAGCAGTTCAGCCAGCGGACCAGCCGGATGCGATGGGCTAGCATCCGAGATGGGCGAAGAGGGCAAGAGACGAGCCAGCGAGCCAGCCTGATGCGATGGGCTTGCATCCGAGATGGGCGAAGAGGGTAAGAGACGAGCCAGCGAGCCAGCCTGATTCGATGGGCCTGCATCCAGGCTTGGCGATGACGACGGGACGAAGCGCCTGCGCTTGGTGGCAGCAGCAGGAGTTTGGCCTTCGGTTGTGTCTTCCCGTTGTCGAGTCGCTGGCGCAGAGGGCTGAGGACAAGGAGGAGCGACGGCCGCTGGACCCTGTCGCGAAGGCTGACGTGGACCCTGTTGCGAGGCCTGACGA